TTACATGCCTGCACTGACGCTGTGGGACCAATCTCATTATTCTTAATTCCAGTGTCTGTAATGATCATTCCTTTCATCCTCGGTTTTCTGTTGTGGAAAGGATATTATACCATTCTGGTTTGAGTACTATCCTTTAAGCCAAGGATGTCAAATCCATATCCTTTCCCCTGTCAGCAACATCTGTAATGGCAGTGCCCAGCACCAGCTCTGTGGAAAGGTGTATAAGAGCCAATTAACACTGTCTTCACATTCCATTAGAAAGGGTAGGCAAGTTAGGCCCGTGGCCTAGAAACATTCTGAAGCTTTAGTGTAAGATAAGCACGCGTCCCAACAATCAGGAGTGATATAAGAAACAGTCAATGGAGTAAAGGCAAAGTATTCCTAGTGACAGTGATGGATACCAGCCAGAGTACCTGTGGAGTTTTGGGGGACCCTCTGCATCTTGCAAAGCTCAGCAAGTCCTAGGAATGTGGGGATGGGCCACAGAGGGTACAGAGGAACCTTTATTAACTAGATACTTGAACAGCTGGCATGGAGGTGCCAGTGGCACCCTCTGATTATCAGTCTTCCCTACACACTCCTGGCACCCACTCCAGGTCCTTGAAGCCCAAAATATGTGAGAAGGACAAGTAGCATCCCTCTCTTGCCCAGTCTTCTCATCTTAGTAAGTTTTTTAAGCAAATTATAAATGTCAATGTTTTTCCTTAATTATTTGAATTGGTGTGTAACAAAAGCAAAATTCCACTGTTAAATAAACTCAAAAAAAGTCACAAAGTTAGCAGTAAATTCTGTAAATGTCATAAACTGTAATACAAGGAGGAAAACCATCCTGCTGAAGTTGTTGCATGGATAGCGGAACAGAAGAACTAGAGCAGGATCTTCAGCATCCATCAGAGTCATTCAATTAAACAAACCCCAAAGAGAACTCCTCCAAGAAAATCACTTTACAGCACGTAATGAAAAACAAAACAAAACTTGTCTCTGACTTTTTTTAATAAAAGGGCTGTTTAAAAAGATGACTGTAGAGTGTGTGCCACTTCTCCTGGATTTGCTGTGCAGAAGTGCATAAGTGTGAGTGATGTAGAGGTACTTGTTTATTATAGAGCACATTTCAATGCAGTAATCATAAATATTGCTAAGGTTGTGCTTTGTTGAAATATGACCTACATACTCTTGATTGTTTGTGTTACGTGATTTGTCTGACACCCATTACATTCTGGGTAATAGCAGCCATTTGTTGCTCTGCACAGCAGGCTCTTTTGACAAAAGAAAATAGGCAGCAATAAAAAAGCTATAGTCTGAATTACATTCTGCACAGAGCTGCGCTGCTGAGAGTTTGTGCAAGTGTGTTAACAATGCTCTGAACTGCCTCTTGTCAGCCTTCAGCCTGTAATGGCCATCTGTCCTCACATAAATCTGTCAAAACCTGCTAAGTTCAAGAGAGAGCACGGAATATACCTTGTACTGTCAACACCAAAATGTACACATTCCCCAGAAAATCAACACGCAGGAAATAATCCGGAGGTTATGGGAGGCATTAGCTCTGTTGATTTAGGCTTGTGGCATGAAATTGAGAGTCTGGCGATTAGCGGGAAGATGAGCAAAGGTGGCGCCATTAAGGAATTGAGTGTTGACCTCCTTGCTCCCATGGGGGAAGAGATTGTGGGTACAGGAGGTGAGGTTAGAGAAACACAGCTAATTCTGGGGCAGAAAGGCATTCGTTGTTCCGTCAGGTGCTCTTAAAAAGTTTGACACTATGTTAAGAGGAAAATAATACTCCACACTTTCGTTTTGTTTTGCCTTGTGTCTCAACTATGTCTGGAGATAGATTTTTAGTTAAGCATGCAGTGGTACGAAATCTTGTCATTAGTGAGATTTCTCAGGCTTGCACTGATATTTTTGGATTAAAGATGTTTGGGAAAAGAATACAAAGTTCAGAAAATTATCCAAATTACTTTCTCCTATCCACCTACCTTTGACTCTCAAAGTATCCAGTAAGCAAATGATACATAGGTTGTTCAATAAGTGATCCCAGTTGAAATTTATAGGTCTGATAATTTTCACTTACAGTACAATTTGAGTCTTTGAGTATTTCCATAGAAAATAAGCAAATTTGCAAATAAACATACAATTATTTTAAATTTGAAAGACTTGATAAAAGTGAACCATGAAGTCCTTGGGAGTGAAATATCAGTCTCTGATGTACCATACCGTCCAGTACAGAGAAGGTGTTTTGGGACTATCTGCTCAGCCATCCCAGGCCATATAATTTGTGATGGAGGGGAAAATGCTTTGTTTTAATGCCAAAAAAGTACAATCAGCATGTGGTCACTTCCAAGAGTAGTTTGAGAACCAGTTATTTAAGCAATAATAAGCTTAGGTACTAGGATAAGGGTTTTGAATTTTCAAGACTAAAAAGAATTTCTATATTTAAAATCCTTAGATAGCAGAGCTAATTTTGGAACTCATCTTTCTCTGATAGTGGCCTAATTTGGTGTTTCTGATGGAGGTTTAAGATTTATTTTTATAAAACTGGCATGGCAGTCAAAACAGGTGTATTTGGGGGAGTCCAACAGGCATGAGATGATGGTTTTCCATATGTGTCTGTGGGCCAGGTCTTTGAAAATGTTTGCCCAGCTATCTAAGTAGATCTTGGGCAGCTGAGATGTGAGATCCACTATGAAAGGAGAAGCAAGAAAAATAAAAGTAAAAACAAGCAGTGAAACAAAATTGGAAGAAATAAGTCACAGCGAAATCCCACTAAGAGCTCATGATCCATTTGGAGAGACAAGATAGGATTCACATTTAAAAAGAGATAAGCAAGAATGTGCAGCAGTGTGTGGACTACATGAAGTGACTGTGCCTAACAGTAAATTATTGGAAGGAATAAAAATCACTCTAAACTGGAATGGTCATGAAAAGATTTATGCAGTTGAGTGTGAGAATGCTGAATACCTTTTCCTGCAATTCAAGGGCTACATCATTTGGTATATTTGACTGGTATTTGTTCACCAAATAGACCCTATTTGTCATTATTTATTAATTATCTTATCTTCCCATGAGAAGTAATTGGGAACTCACCACCTTTTTCCTGGGAACCAGTATCTTTAAATTTTCTGTGTTGGTAATTGAAGGCAGCCTGTGATAGGAGTCAGTGTGTATGAATAGAAGGAAAGTATAGAAGGAAAAATGAGAGAGAGAGAGAGAGAGAGAGAGAGAGAGAGAGAGAGAGAGAAAATTTGATCATACCATATTACCATATAGTGTATCGCATAGGAGCTTCATAGATCGAGTAAAAAACATTCCTGTGGGAAAGATGCAGGGAAAGGGAAGTGCACCTCAGTGGCACAAGTGTTTCATCCAACAAGATGTCACCTCCTCCCCGCACGGCTGCTAGCATATGGATAGCTACCCCAGAGTGGCTGCTAACCAAAACAAGCTCCGTTGAGACTCTGGCGTGCATAGAGGAAGACCAGTGTCCCGCTTTCTTTGCATTTGCTTTTCTCTTTCTGAACTTTCTGGGGCAGAATTCCAAAGTTAAACCCTTTGCATTTTATACCCCTTCTTCTGTTAGTTAGGTAACATTAATCATGAATACTAAAAAGTACCAAGTATGGTACTGGTGAAATATGTAGTTTTGGGGAAATCATCAATTTCTTCCACTTGCAATGAAAGTAGGAGAGCGGGGCGGCACCTTTCCTTCTGTATCAAAATTTCATGTGGCTTCCCGTGACCTACTTGGTTCTTGATATCATTTTTTGCCAGTAAAGTAGGATTTTTTTTTCCCCCTTGAAATCCATAGTTGCCTTAAGTCTAACCCCAGGCTTGTTAGCAGACTTGAAGCTCTTTTTGCTGAATAGTGTTCACCGTCTTCCTAAATAGAAAGTGTGTTGTAAACTAAAATGTTCCCTTGTAAGCATAAAGTCATTTGAACTCCAGTCTGCCCTTCTTCAAAGCGCCCTGGACTCCGGAGCCTTCCTTGGTGTGATGGGATAAAATTTAGAGGTAACAACTGTGCTTCCCAGACTCTCCTACCTTGGCTTCTGGTGGAATGTTCTGCCCTTCTGTGGCAAAGTAGGAAAGGCAAGGACTGGCAGGTGTTCCTCTTTCTCCCTTTATTCCTCCCTTATTTAATTAGTTGCCTAAGCTTGGACTCATTTCAGTCCTTCCGTCTCATCACCCGCACTTCTGTGCTCTAAATAAAATGGTCCAGTGGCGTGGCGATATTTACTGTTGCTGTTCACTTAGGTTTCTGTAGCAGAACCATATTTTAGACACAATGTATTAGTTATGCTTACGAGAATGTATTATACCTACATTAGCCATGGTGTACTAAGTTAATGAACTGTAGAGACAAAGAATCACTGGCATAAGTTGTGGAGTGAATCTAGTTCCATGCATTGCCCTGGCTGTCAGATTTTCCTGAACTTATTTTGATAATTCCTGGGTCATTCCCCAAACCACTAAACATTTACTGTCATTCCATTATTTTTTCCCCTAAATGCTTAATTCATTGGCTCCAAGTTTAGATTTTCTTGATTGAACGAAAAGCCCAAGGTTGCTTGCCTCCTCTGCAAGCTTCTTAACAAACAAATGCCACCAAGACCACTCCGATTCCTAGGCCCTATTGTGCCAATTTTCCATCAGACAGCTTATGCAAAACCCTTGAAAATTCTAGAATTAACAACACGTAGACCAGCAAGTCCACTGTAACACAGCCAGGTCTTCTAGGAAACAGAATTTGTTAGCTTTATTGTTTGAAATACAAAATAATCACAGCTCGTGCTGCTACCTGGCATTGTCCATCCATCTTTCATTGGTGACAGAGGCCTAGTGAATGAATCAGCTTTTCAGGGCTTGTCATGAATTTAGTGTTCTTCTTCTTCAACCAGTTTTGATCCTTGTCTGCAATCTCGGAAAAGTTAGGAAATGTGTCTCGTCATTTAAGAACATTATCTCTATTTCTTTTTTCTCCCCCCCCCCTTTTTTTTTAACTTTAGGCCTAACTCCACCTACAACTCCTCCTCATAAAGCCAACCAGGATAACCCTTTCAGGGCTTCTCCAAAGCTGAAGTCCTCCTGCAAGACTGTGGTGCCACCGCCATCAAAGAAGCCCCGGCACAGTGAGTCTTCTGGTGTCCCAGTTAATAACTCCACCAAGAAGGGGCCCGAGCAATCCGAGCTGTATGCACAACTCAGCAAGTCCTCGGTGCTCGGAAGTGGACAAGAGGAGAGAAAGACTAAGCGGCCCAGCCTACGGCTGTTTGGTGACCATGACTATTGTCAGTCCATTAATTCCAAAACGGAAATAATTATTAATATTTCACAAGAGCTCCAAGACTCTAGACAACTAGACTATAAAGATGCCTCTTCTGCCTGGCAGGGGCAGATTTGTTCTTCCACAGATTCAGACCAGTGCTACCTGAGAGAGACTTTGGAGGCCAACAAGCAGCCTTCTCCTTGCAGCACCAGAAAACAGCTCCAGGACCAGGAAATCCGAGCCGAGCTGAACAAGCACTTCGGTCATCCCAGTCAAGCTGTTTTTGATGATGAATCAGACAAGACCAGTGAATTGAGGGACAGTGATTTCAGTAATGAACAATTCTCCAAACTACCTATGTTTATAAATTCAGGACTAGCCATGAATGGCCTGTTTGATGACAGCGAAGATGAAAGTGATAAACTGAGCTACCCTTGGGATGGCACGCAATCCTACTCATTGTTTGATGTGTCGCCTTCCTGCTCTTCCTTTAACTCTCCGTGTAGAGATTCTGTGTCGTCATCCAAATCCTTATTTTCTCAAAGACCCCAAAGGATGCGCTCTCGTTCAAGGTCCTTTTCTCGGCACAGGTCGTGTTCCCGATCGCCATATTCCAGATCAAGGTCAAGGTCCCCAGGCAGTAGATCTTCTTCAAGGTAACCCCTGGCAAAACCAACTCAGTGCCTAAGGTGTTTCCCCGAAACTCAAAGAAAGTATTCAAACTCATAGCCAACCCACATTTACCACTGTACAGCCAGAGCTAACAGGCACTGTGCATTCCTTTCTCTCCCAGTTATCTTAAGTGACTCAGCCTTGATCACAGTGCCTTGAACTAGTTAGATCAAAAAGAGCAATTTGTAAGAAACTTGCTCGTCTAAATTTTTCCATTACCTGTAGAGCTGCCTTGCACCAGGATAGTTGAGATCCCTGCAAGATAAAGCTGACAGTGTACAAGACCTGGAGTTAGCTGTTAACATCAATAAGAGACATGCAGAGAGAACACATCACTTTCGGGCGCGGAGCTGACTTGCTGATCACAAACTGTCTCCGGAAAATCTCACTAGCAGCTAGGAAGGGAAAGCCAGTTTATGTAGTAGAGTATCCCGGAAGGTGTCCAGTAGTGCTGATAAACCCAGAGTAAGTGGCAGTTGTGAATGTCCATTTGGTTTTGTCTTCTCTCTCAGATCCTGCTACTACTATGAATCAAGCTTCTACAGACATCGCATGCACCGAAACTCGCCTTTGTATGTGAGATCACGTTCAAGATCGCCCTACAGCCGTAGGCCCAGGTAATGAGCCTCTCCTTTGCCTCTGGCTCCTTGTACCCTTTCCTTTAGATGACAAGAGAGCATCTAAATCCCTTCTTTCCTCCCCAACTTCTGATTTATTTTGCTTGTACAAATGGAGGTGGCTGATTTAATGATGAAGTCGTGTTTCTCAGGTATGACAGCTACGAGGCGTATCAGCACGAAAGGCTGAAGAGGGAAGAATACCGGAAAGAATATGAGAAGCGGGAATCAGAAAGGGCCAAACAGAGGGAGAGACAGAGGCAGAAAGCAATTGTAAGCAGCACGGAGCTCACTTTCTCTTTAAAGGAGGGTTATTTTATTTTTTCTGTGTGCTTTTTCTATTTCTTTCTTCTTCTTTTTTTTTTTTTTTTTTTTTTTGGTAGATTAGAAAATAAACTAAAGCTAAGGCTTTGTTAAAATAGGCAATATTCAGCCTTTTGACTTTAAAATATCAATGAGTTTTCAGTCCCTCTGAACACAGTTTATTGGAAAAAAATGTTAAGTCAGTGCATTTCTGATTATAGTTGCATTTTGAAGTTCATTACTGTTTCCAAGTCTTGCTTTGAAAAATGAAGAGAATACAGATTTATTCAGCTGGATAATGGTTTTCTCTGGACAGAGGGCGAGTTTTGCTCCACTTCTGGTTGCTTGTTTTTCTGGCTGGATGAGGAGGAGATACTGCTGTTTGGTTTCAGCTTTCATCTTTTTGACAGACTTGGGGATTGTGTTGTCCATGAAGAGTCCGGGTTTCTGTTAGATTTAAATTTAAAGTAGGTCGTAGAGGAAGATTTGCTAAGAAAGTCACCATTTCTTACTGATGATGGAGTCAACACCTATGTAGGCGGTGACGCATCTGCATTTCTTAGGAGTTACTTCTCAGTAACTCATTATTGACTGTAATACCATTTACTCCGGGGTGTTATGATCACTTGACATATAGACAGTGCTGATCTTTCTGTGTAAAGATCCAGTTGTATGGAACTTGTTTGTTCTTTAAAAGTCGATACTCTTTTTAGCGCTAATAAGTAGACTTTAACCCAGCTCCCCACTGCTGCTTATCCAACTAGACCTTGGGTGACAACAATGAGATGCTGTCAACATTCAGTACAGGCCCATAGTAGACATTCGTAATCAATCACAGAACTCTGCCCTTCTCCGTCTCATGGAGCCTTAGGGCCTTGCTCAATATGGCGCTCCAGGGAGCCAGGGCTAATCAATCAGATATGGCATTTCTTTGGTTCATTGCACCTGCTGTCTATCTATGCTAGATGCTAAGTGTCAGTTCAGTAAAATGTAGCATTTTCCATAACTGGCATATGAGCTAACTTGAGCCTTAGGGAAATTATTTTTTCACTATAAAGAGTGGATATCTATAGTGCCTTTAAAGAAACACACCAACATCAACAAAATTTTGAAAAGCAGCTGACTAATGGAGTAAAAAATCATGCATTAGCTATGTTACCAGCTGGAGGAAAAAGGTTAAATTAGTGGTTTGTTAATCACAGGCACTCAAAGGAAAAAGAAGGGAGATGTAACTGAATGGCTCCGTTGAAGTTCTGGAATGTTTGGTGCCACTTAATTTTCTCTAAGACTGAATCAAAGGCCTTTGTGCAAATTACAACAATTTCCTCATTTTTCTCAATTTCAAATGAGCTGTATTGTTAATATTTAGTTAAATGACACAAGGATTGATGAAAATTAAAAATTCAATTTTTCTAATATTGCTGCATTTAGTGGTCTATTCAATAATTATAACTCACATTTATATAATGCTACATAGTTTACCAAGCTTCTTAAAATGGCACACTATTGCTAATTATTACAAAAGGAAAGCATGTTAAGCAGGTATATAAGAAATTATTTAAATATTTGCAAATTCATATGTTATAAAATTCTTGATCCCCTCCCAAATAAGACATTAAGGACAGAAATGAATAGTTTCATCATACATTTGCTCATTTCAGCAAAAGAACACAATTCTAACCAAGCTAGGTTAACTCTTTAATTGTGATAATGTAAATAAATGACACGTGTTTGGGTTTTTTTGCTCCAAATGGTAATTTAGTGCCATGGTAAAGAAAGGAAAGGAGACGTCTTGTTACTTTGGCTCTTTCTGAATGGCCCAGATGGGGTCATTGGTCTAGGTGACCCAAAAGTGTTCTTGAGGCCACCAGTAAATACCACTCTGCCTTCTTCTTGAGTTTCAAATATTGACTAATTCTTTAGTTAACTCTTTGAGAAGGACAATCTTTATCACTTTTCTTGAAAGGAAAACTTTTAGTAATACTAATGTCAATGTGGCTTATGTTATATTTTTATACATTAACTAAGGACCGGTAAGTATTTTATCCTTGGGGATTGCTTTAGGCTTTGGTTTTTAAATTCAGTTCTAAACAATTTAAGCCACAGACTGTTTACTAACACAGTGATAGATGGATACTAAGCTCTCAGTAAAGAACCAGGACTTTCCTTTGAACCATTTCCTTCCTGGTCACTTAACACAAATGAAAACTCCTAACTCTTTCTGTGATACACATTTGTCAGGTGATTGGCATCTAAGATTAGGTAAGGCCTGGTTTCCAGGTTCAGAGAGCCTTGAGTGTACTGATAGATAAAGATGTATAAAGATGCAATGCAGTGTGAAATCTGGACTGTCAGTGGGTCCATCTCTAGCACTGTGGTGCAAATGGACAGGCCTCTGGGCCTGTGCATGAGAAGGGCATCCCCAGTGAGGCTAAGAATCATCAGCGCTGAAAAGGCAGGCAGAGCAAAGATTTTTCACACTGGCAGTGTCTCATATTGTAACCATTAACCACATGGCTAGTTTGGTTACATAGAGTTAAGATAACAGTCTGTGACTGAGGTTTTAAAACTTGGTATAAAAAATAGTGAAAGGTATGTAGTTAGTATTTTTATATGAATCAATTTGATGTGATATTTGAGATAAATTGAGCTAAATAAATTACATTAGTATTAAATTTTCAGTTTTTGTTTTACTTATTTAAATATGGCTCTTAGGAATTTTAAAATTATATATGTTGTATTATAATTTTACTCAATATTTCTGTTTTAGGCAAAAGCTAGACAGCTTGTTTCAGGAACATAGTTCAATGTATTGGGAGACTACTGTGTATTTCACTACAACCCTAAGGCAGGAGGAAGGTTAAGAAATAAGTCAAGAGTGGTGAGTGGAAGGCTTATTCTTAAGGGTACTCTCTCATGCTAAGGACTTTGAAATCTACTTTAAAGACAGACTGAAACTGTTTAATGAATTTAAGCCATAGGAGGACTTTTGATTAAATTCCTTTCTCCAAATGGTCTGTTTTCTAGCACCATATTGCATGGGCAAAAGATATTTTTGTGGACTTAAGCAAAGAGATGCATGCAATGATTTTTTTTAACTTATTGACTAAATTTGTTTAAAAATTCATTCTAAAACAGCTAAGGGAACTAGCACATACCACTGTAGTAGACTGGGTGGGTACTTTCATTCAGTTTTTGAGACAGCTGTGAAGTGAGCAACAAGAAGTTTATTACAGTTAAAATATTTTGAATGTGATGTTAGATTAACTATTGATCCAGCAGCCCCATACTTAGGAATTTCAAGAGTCCACAAGAAAATGTCTTAAAAAGCATTTATGATATAATCATTCATATTTGACAAAATTAGACTTTTCTATATGTTTTATGGGTTCTGTTGTATTTATTTGAGTTTTATAAGAGAAAAGGAGTATAGGAAGTCTATCAGTATTTCATTGTTTTGGTATCTAGAAGTCTTAATAGACCCCTAATGTGAGCATACCAAATCAGAAAGCTAAAAGAATATTAATAATTAGTAGTTACTAAAAACATCATAGATTATGATAGAATATCACCATTGTTTCAACACTATTTTCATACAAACCTTTTTCTTAAAAACTAATTTGCTCTGTCTTGAAACTTGAAATAACTCAGATTACAACAGGACTCTGCAGAATTCAGTACTCAGTGTTGAAACTGTCACTGCTTTAGTTCCTTGTTGAATTTTAAGTCCAACTCCATTTGCAATCTGCACAGTTTCCTGCCAGAAAACATGATAATGGGATGTTAATTTAAAGGACAAATTCAGACATTATTATATGGCTCAGTGCTTAAAACCAAACCCAGATGTGCACGGGCAGTGACGATGCCATTTCATTGTTCTTCTTTGCTGGTCAGTATGCAGCCAGGAGCCATGAGCAGTATATTATCGCTGCTGCTGCTGTGCTGCTTCTAAATGAAACCAAAAGTTACATGATTTTTCAGTTATTCTTTTGGAAACAATAAATTAGCCAAATCAGTTTTCTATTCAAGCTTTTCTTTTTGTATTGCTGGGGTATTCAGAACTCTTAAAAGAAATATTTCATGTGGGTGAGTATAGGTTATATAAGGATTTTAAATTGAGTATTTGGAAATTTTCAGCTTCATGGCAAGATGAATAAGTTCTAGAGATCAGTGAGCAGCATCATCCCTATAGTTATATATGGCAGTGGATACTTTGAATTACATGAAAAGGACAGATCTTATGTTTAGTGTTCTTGTTGCTAGACAGAGAGGAAGACGGGAAGTGGAATGAAAAGGGAAGGGGATAAAGGAGGGGAGACAGACAGAGAGAGAGAGTGAAACAGCAGAGAGAGACCATGACAGGCAGAAGGACAGAGACAGAGAAATAAAACTCAACACGAGAAAAGTTTTGCAGATGACAGACACAGATTTAGTGCCGTTATTACAGTGATGGAATGGTGGATGTGTACAGAGCTTTTTAAAAGGAAATCATATTTTCAAGCTATGGCTTTCATGCTTCTGACTTGCCAGTATATTACCTTGCATCTTGGCTTTTCCCTGTGTGTTCCCTCTAAGTAGACTAGTCGGAATTTATTAACATTAGCCTTAGCAGCTAAGCAGGAAGATTCCTGGGTCATACTTACCTGTGGGTAACTTTGTAAAACTGAACGCTATAAATTTGTTTGTTCCTTAAGAATTTCCCCTAGTAGCAGACACTTATTGAATGTCTCCTGAATTGAGCTTAATCAATATGAAGAGCAAGGAGGAAAAAATACTTTTGAAGCATCTTTTAGAATTTTGGTGTTTCTGTCCATTCCTATCTCCCCGTACTCATCTAACCCTTCCTTTTTCTGTTAACGTAAGACTGTCTAGTGGTACCATCTATTGTCCAGGATATTCAGAGTATGTTGGATCATTTTTTTTTCTTGTGATGATTGAACCCAGAGCCTTGTGCACACTGAGCATATGCTTTTCTATGAAGCTATGCTACCAGCCTGTCTTGAGAATTTTTGAGGAAGTAACATTGCTACTAATATGGAAATTAATACAAATCTTTCACTGTCAAGGTTGACATATAGCTTACTTAGCACAGAATAAAGAGTTTTCATATTATTCTGACTTATTAATGCAGCATAAAATTTCTGGGAACCAAAATTTATACCAAGCTCTTCTTTGTTGGTACATCGCATAATAGCACATTTTAGTGTGATAATCCACTAAAAATCATCGAACGTAGTACTTGGCCTATGTAAAGTTCATTAAATGTTAATCTCCCTACTGCTTTCTGTCTTTTCTTAATCAAAGCCTTTTGCTAAAAGTAGCTTATTATTTGATGAGAAACAACCATTGTTTGTTTTCCCCAGCTAACTGGAGGCTCTATGTTCTTTTAGATAAAGATTTTGGTAGTGCAAAGTCAGTTGATTCACTGAGGTTTCTTCCCCCTTATTTATCTCCTGTGTTTTGGTATAATGAGGATTTACTGTAGCTGTTAATACTACATAAATCTTCAATTTTATTATCCAACCTATCAGCAAACTAGCTTTTGTGAAAATTGAAGCTAAAAGTTATTTGATGAATGTTCCATCCCCCTCAATAGTGAAAACTGGTCTAAAAATCATTTTTCAAGGAGCTTTTTCCAAAGGTTTCAAGTTCCTTCAAGCCTTTAAGAAGTTGGCAATATTATTAAGCATTTTGATTTCTTTCCCTTTCATCTCCTGTTTAGAAATTAATGTCTTGAAAAATTGGCTGCAAATGTTAAGGTTTTTTAAAGATATGAAATCTATTCATCTGTCTAATGCAACTGCAACATGTTAAAAAGAATTGGTTCTTTGCAAGACATCTTGGCCAATCTTGGAAAGCTTTTTGTCTTTCCCTTCTAGAACTTCAGATGCCTTCTATTTTCATTTTTAGCACTTGGAAAACAAAACACTTCAATAATTTTCTCAAATGAGAATTTCATCATGCATTCAATCTCTGTTCTTTGTAAGGTAACAAGACATGGCCCCCTTCCTGTGCTTTATAAAAAGAGATGGTAGACTGAAAGATAATTTAAGCAACTGTAGGACAATCCTTTGATTTCTTCTCTCTCTCTATTGTGTTTTCTTAGTACTGCAGAATGTATCAGTATTTGTTCTGAAAAGGTCCTCTAGCTAATCTCTTTTTTGTGTGGGATCATTGTTGAATACAACTTTATATAACACATCCCAATATGTCTGCATATGGGTGTACATATGGTCAATTTTAGCTTTCACTTCAAATTTCCTTGGGTACATAGGCTGTGCGTATTCCCATAATGGTAGCTGAACAATTTCTTTGCTATGGCTCAATTTCTTTCTCTACTCCATTTTCCTCTCCCTTGCCTCTATACAGTAGTAACTTTCCTAAAAGCCTCGTTAAAAAAAATCCATAACACCCATGTAAGCAGGTGCCAGGAAGTTTAAGTTTAGATAACAGTCCCATCACATTCGGCTGTTTGGCTGAAGCAGGCTGTGTAAATGGAATGGAATGTGGTGTTATGATTCCCTTGCTAATGCACGCAGCCGCTCCAGCACAAGCCTCACCATCCTTTTCTATTTGTTGACTGCCAGGATGTGTGGGTGCTCTGGACAATTACCTTCAATTGAGACATACAATCTACATGGAAGCCGATCAGGCAGCTTGATCTGTTTGTGCCACCTCATCTGGTCAGTGGTGTGGGCCCAGCAGCTATGGTCAGAGGAATTGTTTGACCAGAGGTTTCATGAGCAAGCTTTCTGATTTATAAAGGTGACTTTGGAGAGCGAGACCCTGCAAACATGCAGCTAGTCTATACTTGTCATGCTTAAACATCTAAATTCCCTTTGTTAATTTACTCAGCTGAGCTACTTGAGGAAGGGAACCTGGGGAAGAGTTTTCCTGTGATAATGCACGGGAGCCAACTTTGATTTTCTTTTGTGCTGGAGCAGCCTGAGGAGTAAGAGTCACACTTAGGCATCTTTGATATAATGAAGGAGGCAAGGAGATGTTAAAAATGATTCAATGATTTTATAGCAAATGCTCACTGAGATTCTGTTATGTTTCAGTTTTCTTTAAAATAGAATCATGAAAAGGAAAAAAAATAGTCTCCGCTTTCATGAAGCATTTATTGTACTGGCCAGGCAGACATAGAAAGATAAAGGAAGTATTAATTACTTAATTACAATTAGGCACAGAACTGACTAAGGAGAAACAGAGTTTTCTATAAGAGTAGCTAATAGGAAGTCTGACTTCAAGTGCCAGAAACAAAAGGATTACTGAGCTTAATGTAATTCCAGATGTGCATTGAGGCTTTGGGGAACACAGTATGGGGAGCCTCTTCCAGGTAGCAAAGGAATAGCATGTAGAAAGATCTTAAAAAGGAAGGAAGACAGTATTTGTTGGGGACTGATTAAAGCCCAGTGTGGCTGGAAAGTAGAGTCAAATAAAGACTGGGAGGTGGGAGAAAAAGACCATTATAGAGTCAGGGCCCGTTCATGTGGGCTGCACCCAGTCTGTCTCATTTATGATTTATGTGTTTCATTAGAAGATAAGAGAAGTCATTGAAATGTTTTAGATTGTAATTGGCAAACTTAGATTCCTGTTTCCTCAGCAAAGACTCTTCTGCCTACAGTGAAAGGACAGGTTAGAGGAGGTAAATCTTGGCTGCAGGGAGTCAGGTGACAAGACTGGTACACTTTTCCAGAAAGAAGTTGGCAGTTTGGCTTAGGGGAGAGAGAGAAAAGAGCTAAGTTAAGGAGAGATTAGGAGGCATAAATCAAGTGGACATAGTGACTGGATATGTAGAGAGGATACAGGGACAGGGCATGCAGATTTTTGTCTGGAAAAACTGGTCAGGTGGAGTCAACTTCCCCGACAGGAGAGTGAACATGGGAGAAAGGACCAGCTGGGCAGGGTGAAGCTGGAGAGTCTGGTTTGGTAGTGTCGGCCCATTTTGAGGTTCCTATGGGACAGCCAACCTAAGGGGGTAAGTCAAGGTGATTGTGTGTGACACTCAGAAGAGCTTCCTTTTCTGGCAGACTTAGAGACAGGGTTGTTGCATATGTTTGCATGTGGCCAGGCATGGCTGAACTCATGTCACAAGTGCATCCTGCGCACTTGCTCTTTGTGAACCATGGGTGTGTGAGCAGGGAAGACCTTCGCTAAATGCTATAGGACATCTTTTTGCATTAAGCCTAAATTAAGTTTTAGATCACAGCATGGAGAATCTCAATAAATTGAGGGCTGGATGGCTGAACCTTAGGTCTGTCTTTGTCTTTTCTGTGTGTCATTCTAGACTCTGCAACCTCAGGCTCATGTTTTCTTATTTATCCATATATACAGTAGTTGAGTTGGTAAGCACATTTTTTCCATCCACTCCTTGTGTTTTTATATAACCTTTTCTTAATTTTGAGAGCCTTTATCCTCTCTGCCTTTTCTTCTTAAATAAAAAACAATAATAATAATAAAATTAAAAATAACAGTAAGACTGCTTCGTATGCTAAGAATGTGCACCTGGTTTTTAAAACAGGAATCTGTCCCTGGGCTACAAAATAGTCTTCTCATATTTGTAAGTTATAAATTGCTGATGATTTTCAGATTATGATGATACTGACTTCACTTGTAAAAATTAGGCCACACCCCCTCTAGCCTGTTCCTAAAATAAAAGTAGATCTATTGGCAAAGTGAAATTTATAGCCTCTTTTATTTAGCTCTTATTCTTCAGAGACCCATGGCTTAAAATGGCCTATATTTTAAGACTACATTTCTCAAATTATTGTCTTTGGACCACCTGTGTCAGAATCACTGGGGTGTGCTTGTTAAAAATGAAGACTGTTGAACCTTGTCTTTCAATTCTTTTTTATTGTACAGCTAGGATAAACTCTAATAATTTTCCTTTTAAACAAGCACACCGAGTCCTTTCCAAGTATAGTAGAATTTAAAAACGTCTCTTTTAAGGATACCAAAAGTTGAGTGTCTCCGATTGGTACTGTGTGTGGATGAGACGTTAAATAGCTTTGAATACCAGGTCAGTGTCAGACCAGTTTTGAAGAGTGACATTAGAATCCCAAACATTCAAATATTTCATGCACAGTAGTTAAGATGCATAAGCTTCTTTTCCAACACGTAAGAGTTCCTGGAAAGGGAGATTAACTAGGAAAAGGAGAGCAAAGTAGTGGCACAGAGAAGGATGCCTAGGTGAGAAAGAAGAGGCGGAGGGTGGAATGTGTTTGAGGGGTGGTTTTCCTGGGGGCATCCTATGGAGTGCTCCCTTGGTGAGTTCCACTTACCCGTGCTTGTACCTTTCTGGATACTTCTAGAGCAGCACTTTCTTTTTATCTGCAGAACTAGCAGAAGTCTCTTCTTACTTCCCCCTAGGAAGAGCGCCGTGTGATTTACGTTGGTAAAATCAGACCTGACACAACACGGACAGAACTGAGGGACCGCTTTGAAGTTTTTGGTGAAATTGAGGAGTGCACAGTAAATCTGCGGGATGATGGGTGAGAATCTTCAAGATTATTTCTTGTTTAGAAGTTGACGTATGTAAAAAATTATGGCCCTGAGATTACTGGGATGGGAGTTGCCAATGTAAGTGCTTTGACAGATGACATGTTGAGTTCAGAACCTTATTTATTTTCTTTTATCCCTATTTATTAATCTTTCTAGTTGAGATTTCCTGTCCTAGAAATAAGTATTTAGCTGCTTGACAGGACAATCATACTGATAAATGAATGCAGTGGCTCAGACACTGGCAGCAGTGAAGTCTCCCAAAGTAGAAAGGGTTACAATCTTATATGTTAATGCACCTTCAACAGTCTGATTTTCCTTTGTCCACTGCAGAGACAGCTATGGTTTCATCACCTACCGTTACACCTGTGATGCTTTCGCTGCTCTTGAAAATGGATATACTTTGCGCAGGTCAAACGAAACCGACTTCGAGCTGTACTTTTGTGGACGCAAGCAATTTTTCAAGTCTAACTATGCAGACCTAGGTATGGATTTCATTGTACATAGAATGAGGAATTCATAATGTAGAGCCCCAAATGGCAGCAAACATACTCTGTAAGCACCTAGGATTGAACCACCATTTCATTTACTGGAGAGAACACTTGAACACAGATACTTCTTTAAATGTATGGGACAGTTGCAAAGGGAAGTAGTTTAGGTCTTAGCAATAAACCACATAATTAACTCCTTCTGGTTATATAGGTACTGATATTCCACTCTGTGTGTGTGTGTGTGTGTGTGTGTGTGGTGGTGTGTTTTGCATGTGTTGTGTTGTTTGTATGTGTGCATGGTGCACTGTGTTTATCTACATGGATTTAAGTTTATCTGCATAAGGTTAGGTTTTTGTCTATGTGTTTGTAATCTTTTTTTGCCCTCCATGCCTGTCTTGAATCCTGTCATATAAATTATCATTGCTTTATGTAAATATGCAAAGGTCTTATTCTGTTTTATTGTTTCAAAATATTACAATTTTCTATGAAACATAACTTTCAGGGAGAAAGCAAACCTTTTTATTCTAACTCACTCCATATTTACTTTCTTTAGAACCAAAAATCTACTATTTATTTTCTCCAGATTTTAGTCTCTGTGTAGGAGCTTTGCAAAGTTTTTCCTCACTTGATTACCAACATTAGCTTAGGAGGTAAATGTTAATATTGTCTTCTCCATTTCACAGATACTGAAAATAAAACATACATAAATATGTGTTTTGCATGTCAAAATGTTGTACAGACTCAAGAAATAAGATTTTGAAAATATAAACCAATATTATGAAAAAATGCAAAGTTACCTATCAATCTATTATCCAAAAGTAGCAATTATTACTAGGCGAATGATTGTCTTTTATCTGGGAATACCTAGTTTCTTATACTTGAGATCATATATATATGAATATATTAAATTCTACCTTCATTAACAGTATTATATAAATCCACTTACTACTATGATACGCAGCATTAAAATAATTTGTCAATAGTTATTAATTCACTATATTTCATTGTTCCATTATGGCTATACATGTGTTATTTTTTTGCTTTTTAATATTATAAATAATGCTACAATAGACATCTTAATTTCCTCTCCAGTTTTAACTTTGTTCCTTCATATGTCATTCCTTATCTAATGCATATATTATAAGCCTTTTAATTCTTTGAGGAAGAAAAGAGAAAGGAAAGTAGCAAATGCCTTGTGCATATGACATAATTTTAAAATTAATTTATCATCATAATAAAATAAACCTATGCATCTATTCCTTAGCATCATTAGATATCTTTCTACAATTGCACTGGCATGGTGTGCAGGAAGAAATGAATACCAAATATGGGATTTCTTTTTTTCTCTTTTAACACAGTGGTGTCTTCCTGGAGTAATGATACAGGTGCTGTGCATTGTTCAGAGGGAATATGCTATAATTCACTTCACAAGCTAAACAGATAGTGTGAATCAGGGGAGAGGCAGCTGACTGTTGGAGAGATAGAGGCCTAGGGATGAAAATATAAAATGTGGCAAGTCATTTGTTCAAATGTTGGCTGATAAAAACGGTCAAGACAGATTGAAGCCTTGAGTTGATTTGACTTATTTTCTCCTATGAGGAAGGCCAGGGTATTTCTGCTCTCTCAAAACATCTAGAGTTTAAAATGAAGTTCCTAGAGGGGCCTACAGATCAAGATTCATCATTGTAGAGGGAGAATTGTGTAGTATTTCCAAATTGAACTGGCGCCTCCCTGAAATATTTCTATGAAGAACGTTCCCCTCTCATTATCTCTCTACTTGGCCAGTGGCAACAGAAACTTTGCCATTGCTAAAATCACTCTGTATTTTCTGAAAAGCATGCTTGGTGTGTATTGTGGTAGCATGGTTTTTTTCCAATTCCCCCAAGCTCTACAGCAGTGGGAAGAGGTTCTTTTTCTGTGTCCGATCATAGTGGAGTCAAAAAGAGCTCTGGCTGGGAATCCTGAGCACCTCATTGGTAACTTGGTTTTCACTGGTCTTGGACAAATAATTCAACTCCAGCAGCTTCTGAGGGTCCCTTTGGAAAAGGCCTTACAGTGTTATTGCAATTATTTGTGATGCTCTTAGCACAGTGACTGGCATAATATAGTGGTCAATAAATAGTAGCTGGGATTGTGATTGAAATATTAAGAATGAAAAATTGAAAACTTAGAGATGTTTTCAAGTAGAAGAATGAGCACCAGCAGGTAGCTTTGGATCTCAGTGGAATTATTGTGTCTTCCTTTTGTTCCTGAAAGGCAAGATCACCCACACGGCCTTAGTATTGTGAGCTTAGAAATATATTGGACCCTTGAAGAGAGTGGGAACTTAGTTGTATGTGAAGTGTGAAATAAAAATGATGTGATGCAGATTAATTTTACCAAAACATTTTAGACATTTGCCATTTTTTTGTTTCTCATTGCTCCTCTAAGTGAAATTAGTTCATGCATCCTATTTCTCAACTATTGAAAACAGCTAATGTTTGTGATACTATTATTAGAGGAAAATATAATGGTTTCACCTTGTACTCTTGAGCCAGTTTTATAAATAAGTTGAAAGTTTAATGTGACTTGATCAAGGTTACCAGGGTCAAGTAAGGATTTGAGATCAGGTTTACATGAATCTTTACTCTGTGTTTTTCTGTTTTCTCCTATAAACAAATGATCATTTTAAAAACTGACAAAAATGTTAAAGAGAAAAAAATAAACTCTACTAGAAATGTAGGATTGGAAAAGAAGATACATAAATATTATAAGATAAATATATTACATATTATAAATATATATAAAAATATAAAACATTTAAATATCTTCTATTAAAGACTAGTTTGAAATCAGGCTAATTCTATTATATAAAGTCAGATATAGATATAGATATAAATAAATAGATGCCTGCACCACCTATTAGTACATCACTCTCAGATCCCAGAAAAAATATTTTTAACAGTTTTATTTATTTATTTTATTGGTACTAGGGATCGAACTCATGACTACGAGCTTGCAAGGCAGGCGCTTATGCCACCTAGTTAAATCCCCAGCCCCTTTAACCACTGTTTTAATACTATGTGAGTGTTTGAGATTAATATATTCTTTTGAAAAACATTACTTTCAGTACATACTTTATGCCATGTATTTTTCCAGGTACTCGGAATATAATTGTGATGTGATTTGTTTCTATTAATATAGTATCATTATTTATAACTGTTTGTGAAAAATAATTAGTGGCTTTCAGGGTATTTGGATATTTTAATACATTCCAGCGTGTTAAGGGAGAGAATGTAGCAGAGTGAATATGATTATCTCAAAAACTGAATGTGACTATTTTCTATTACATGTAATAAACAAGATTCCCTGCATCATACAACATGGCAGTGTAAGTGAGTTCATAGCTTGTACTGTCTTATAGTTAACAAGCTCTTGGGAACCACTTATTGTATGGAAATCTTAGGACTTCACAATGGAAATGCAGAAACAATGAAATTATAAGTTTCACATAGAATAATTTAAAGTAAGAAAGTTTAATTATTTTCAATATTCCTTTTTAAGAAAAGGCATATGTACATGTTCTGGATGGTTCCATCCCAATCCACAATGCAAATGGAATTCTGATTTCAAAGTAATCTCTGACACTGTTCTAGACATTATTTATCTTTTGTCTCTGCAAAAAGTTTGGTTTGAACACCAGCTGCTCTGATGTCTTAGTAATATAAGCCTTCATTAGGCCATGAAGAGAAATGTAGACGTTAGAAACATTTAAGAGTTAACTGCTGAAGATAATTTTGAAGAAATCTTGGTTATTTTTTGTCTACATTTTAATGTCTGGAGAAAACCCTAATTGCTATTGTTCTTAGCTGGAAAACCCTGCTGGAAGAAAGTCAGTAGATCAGGATTGGTAGGAATGAAAGTAAAAAATAAACGAAGCACTTTCTTTGTCTTCATATCTAAGCAAAAGTTGATTTGAGAGTTGGGGGACAGAACACAAGTGGGCGCTGGACAGCGTGGAGCATTGCAGTATTTTCATTGTATGAATGATTGCGCTTCCTTTTTATCAGCTTGAACTTCTATCACCAAGCATCCCTGTTGTAACTTCCTCTGGGGAAACAAATGGGAAAGGTTATGTTTTGTTATAATTATCAATGCTTTGCAGAAATGTTTGTATTCCTTACAAGTAAATGTTTTCCAAAAAAATGTATGTATTGGCGAACGGCTTCTGATTTTATTTCTAAGCCACTCTTCCTCGCTTACAAGACCAGAAAGAAATATTTGCATTTCCGTAGATGTCAATGGACAAAAATTAGAAGTATCTAACCGAATTCAACTTTATATTCAATATTTCCAAAATACATCTATTTATGAATTAAGGGTCACTTAAAGTAGCATATGGAATTTAGATAACACAACTTGTACTAATTTAAAGTTCCAGGAAAGAGCATAGTTTTATTTACTAATGCATATTTATTCTCTCCTATTGTTGAGCAAAGAGGCTAAAAGTCCTCTCACAGAATAGGTGGAATTTCTCTAGAAATTCTAATCTGAGATGAGTTTACACCTGTTTTGCTGGGTGCTAGAAATATTGGGGTACATGGTGAGATTGGTTGGATGTCTGTTGTGTCTTAAAGGGCAGAAGCAGATAGGGAATTGAGAAATATTCTGGAGCAATTTTCTCTCTCCTCTTGACTGCCTTTCATGCTCTGTGAAGTTAACCCAACTGAATAGAAAGTTGCTCTGAGCTTTGGCTTGTGCTTCCATGTCTGGATTATGGAGGCACACTGAGCAAGTCACTTAGTATTGCCATAGTCAAACTTGTTTGCCTCAAAAAGAGGTAAAAGACTGTTTTTACTTGCCTCCCAGGAGTGTTTCCATCTAAAATGAGTCCACTGGTACCTGTCTTTCAAAGCTCAACCAGTCTTTCTTCTGCCTGTGTGTATGCAGTACCCAGGAAAATTTGGGCATTGTTTTTTAAAGGGTATTGATTGGATAAGCTACAGTTAAATCAGGGGATCTTGAGTTGGAGTGATTGTGCTAACAGCCACAAACACAGGTCCATCTAACCTGGTTTGGGTTTCTTTCAGATTCAAACTCAGATGACTTTGACCCTGCTTCCACCAAGAGCAAGTATGACTCTCTGGATTTTGATAGTTTACTGAAAGAAGCTCAGAGAAGCTTGCGCAGGTAACATGTTTCCTGGATAAGGATGGCAGAGAGATGGTGAATACCTCACGGACAGCGTGTCCTTCCTGGACAGACTATTGCAAGTCATACTTAGGAAGTTCTCTGACTTTACAATCTCTGTACAAAAACAAAACAACAACAATACAGCGATACAACAACAAACAACAACAACAACAACAATGGTTTACATGAACACAGCTGCTGAAGAGGCAAGAGACAGAGTGATATCCAGTAAGCACATGCTCATTCATGGGTGTCGGCTTTGCTTTCCCTGGAGTCTCTTGGTGACAGTGTGTGTGTGTGTGTGTGTGTGTGTGTGTGTGTATGTGTGTGTGAGGACTGGGGCCACCTGACCAGAGCGTGCAAGGGCAAACCGCTTCAAATGGCAGCAGTTCCACGAAGACACACTTACAACCTAGAACTTCAAAATGCTCAGATTCTATTCAAAAGGAAAAAACATATATGTATACAAATTGAAAAGGAAAGAAAACCTACTCACCAACCACACACCACCCTAAAATGACACCTGCTGATGTCTGGGCATCAGCCTCCTACTTTTTAAGAAAGTGCAAAATCAACTTGAAGCAAACTTTCTCTCTAACGTTAATGATTATCTGACAGCCCTGAAGAAACCACAGGTTCCATAGAAGCTCCCTCTATCTCTGTCTTGTCTCTGTCTTTCTCTTTCCTTCTCTGTCTCTGTCTCTCTGTCTCTGTCTCTGTCCCTCTCTGTCTCTGTTTCCCTCTCTCTCTCTCTCTCTCTCTCTCTCTCTCTCTCTCTCTCTCTCTTTCTTTTCTTTTTTGCCATGGAATCTGGGTGGGAGAGGATACTGCGAGCACCAAAATGCTAAACTTCCCTAACATTTTGAAGATTCTGTAGTTCATCCTTTGTCCTGACACCCATGTAAATGTCCAAAATGTTGACTTTCCACTGCAAATTTTAACAGCCTTGTCAATGGTCAAGCGTGCAGCTTGCTGGACAATTCTTTCTGAGGAGCGGACGCGGTGTTACATTGCTAATGAGAGTTGAGTAGAACTCTCCGGATGTGTTCGGATAGTGTAATTGCTACATTCTCTGATGTAGTTGAGTATTTACAGATGTTAAATGGAGTATTTTTATTTTATGTACATATGATACAACAATGTTCTTTTTTGTTACAGCTATGCACTGTAAATGCAGCCTTCTTTTCAAAACTGCTAAATTTTTCTTAATCAAGAATACTCAAATGTAATTATGAGGTGAAACAATTATTGTACACTAACATATTTAGAAGCTGAACTTACTGCTTATATATATTTGATTGTAAAAAAACAAAACAAAACAAAACAAAAGACCGTGTGTGTATCCGTTGAGTGCAACTACAACAAAATGATGCTTTACGCACATCCATTCTTCTTAGGTGAGCTTCGATCTAAGCATCTTGTCCGAAAATATCCTGGTCCCCTAAAGGTATTAACCACTTCTGCGATATTTTTCCACATTTTCTTGTTGCTTGTTTTTCTTTGAAGTTTTATACACTGGATTTGTTAGGGGAATGAAATTTTCTCATCTAAAATTTTTCTAGAAGATATCATGATTTTATGTAAAGTCTCTCAATGGGTAACCATTAAGAAATGTTTTTATTTTCTCTATCAACAGTAGTTTTGAAACTAGAGGTCAAAAAATCTTTTTAAAATGCTGTTTTGTTTTAATTTTTGTGATTTTAATTTGATACAAAGTGCTGAGGTAATAATTACAGTATGATTTTTACAATAATTAATGTGTGTCTGAAGACTATCTTTGAAGCCAGTATCTCCTTCCCTTGGCAGAGTATGATGATGGTATTTATCTGTATTTTTTACAGTTATGCATCCTGTATAAATACTGATATTTCATTCCTTTGTTTACTAAAGAGACATATTTATCAGTTGCAGATAGCCTATTTATTATAAATTATGAGATGATGAAAATAATAAAGCCAGTGGAGATTTTCTACCTAGGATGCATGGCGACTGTCAGGTTGGAGTGTAAGTTCTTCCTTTGGGAAACTCAGCTTTCGCAGAAGCAGTGTCCCTATTGCACTAGCATGGCCTCTGATGTGACCATGACGTTGTTCTTGATGACATTGCTTCTCCTAAATTCAATAAAAAAATAAAAAATAAAAAATAAAAAACTTCAGAAAAAAAAAAAAAAAAAAACTCCATTTTGAGCATCAGGATTTCATCTGAATGTGGAGTCCCGGGAATGGATTCACTAAAGTTCCAAGTGCGTATTCAAGTTACTCAATCGAGATTCGATTCCCGTTTGGCTTACATGACTTTTCCGGAAGACGTGATATACTTACTACTTAATTGTTCTTTTCCTTTCTCTCACCTAACATGATCTTGTCAAATCGGCTTCAGCCCACCCCCACCCCAGGCCAATGCAGCTAATTTTGAGAGCTGCATTCATGTATCACCAGCATATTGTGTTCTGAGTGAATCCACTGTCTGTCCTGTCGGATGCTTGCTTGAGTTTTTGGCTTCTTATTTCTAAGTAGATAGAAAGCAATAAAAATACTATGAAATAAAAGAACTTGTTCACAGGTTCTGCGTTACAACAGTAACACATCTTTAATCCGCCTAATTCTTGTTGTTCTGTAGGTTAAATGCAGGTATTTTAACTCTTTGTGAACGCCAAACTAAAGTTTACAGTCTTTCTTTCTGAATTTTGAGTATCTTCTGTTGTAGAATAATAAAGACTATTAAGAGCAATAAATTATTTTTAAGAAATCAATATTTATTAAATCCTATTATGTGTTCAAGGATCAGATGCATTCTCTATTTTGCCTTTAAATTTTTGTGATCCAATTTTAAATACATTCTCCTTTTAGCCCTGGATTGTTAACAGTGAAATACTTGGTTTCTTTTCTTACTTCTCAAAAGACAACACTACAGACTCCATGTTTCAGATTAATTTATCTCCCTGTGACCTAACAAATACTGTTATCATGAAGATAGGTTTCCACCATGAACTTCAAATCGCATCTAAAGTTAGTGACGCTTTTTGTATCTTATGCAGACACTGTGGGTAGCCCATCAAAATGTAAGCTGTGTTCCTGTTTTTCCTTTTTTTAAAAATTTTTTTTGGGAGTGAATATTTCAAATGAGCACATGCACCCCATCATCATTGGAGGCAAATTTCAGCATAGATCTGTAGGATTTTTTAGATGACCATGGGCCATTGCCTTCACGCTGTGGTAAGTACCACATCTACAATCTTGGTAATCGAATTGGTGCTTTAGAAATGTGGGTTTTTTAAAAAGAGATGTAGCAGAATAACTCTTCCAATACAACAAAATCAATTATTGCTAAATGACTCTGAGAACAACTGTTGGGCTGTCAACATTCAAAGTAGCAGAGAGGGAACTTTGCACTATTGGGGTATGATGTTTGGGTCAGTTGAAAAAAGGAAACCTTTTCATGCCTTTAGATGTGAGCTTACAGTAGGTAATGATTATGTGTCCTTTTTTGATGGCTGTAACGAGAACTTCAATCACTGTAGTCTAAGACCTGATCTATAGATGACCTAGAATAGCCATGTAATATAATGTGATGATTCTAAATTTGTACCTATGTGACAGACATTTTCAATAATGTGAACTGCTGATTTGATGGAGCTACTTTACGATTTGTAGGTGAAAGTGTAATACTGTTGGTTGAACTATGCTGAAGAGGGAAAGTGAGAGATTAGTTGAGCCCTTGCTGGGCTTTTTTTCCACCTGCCAATTCTACATGTATTGTTGTGGTTTTATTCATTGTATGAAAATTCCTGTGATTTTTTTTAAATGTGCAGTACACATCAGCCTCACTGAGCTAATAAAGGGAAACGAATGTTTCAAATCTACCTCTGCTTTTCTTATTTATCGTAACCAAACTGCTGGCCTAGTTCTCAGATCAGTACGTATCACTCCCTTATTACTAATTCCGTTCCTCTCTGCTCTTTCTCTCCCCTTTCCTCCTGCTTTTCCATATTCATGGATGCATTTCAGCTCCAAGGAAATATGCACCTCCCATGTCTTACTTGTCTTCTTTTAATCCATAAAGGCAGACATGGTGATTTCTATAATGAATGTTCAGAGGTGAAAAGAGACATGGGACTTTATCAACTGGATAAGCTCTATTTTTGTACTTAACTTCAGAAAATGTGTATTTGCAAGTAGAAGCTTTTGCCCCAGGGAGAAATCTGCTAAATATTCAGTGTAGGAGATGGACTGGATATTTCTCAAAGATGTGTAACAGGACATAGTCCCTGATCTTACGTAAGTCATCGGGTTACACACAGTGTGAGCTGATAGCTGTTGACGTGTCTCTGTCAGGTAGTCTATCGTGCCTAGTAGGTAGTGCTGATCTTAACCACAGAGAATGCATTATTAACACCGCTCTGTCTCACGGTTTCAGATGGTCTTTTCCACTCTCATTCAATTGTATTTCAAGATGCAGCATGAACCAGCCACTGGTGAAAGGTGACTAAATATATCAAGTCTCTCCCCCAAAATCTCCTGAAGTGAAAAGAATGTTTGTAAATATTAAAACTATGATAGCACTATTAATAGGGCATTTAAATCTGCTAAAAAAGCACTCCAGGTTGACTCTGTTTCTGTTTTATAGCAGTAATAAGATCTGCCAATTATTTTATTAATATAAAATGTATAGAAGTAGGATTTTGTCATGTACATAGTGCGTTCATATACAGCCGTGGGTGCTAAGATCCAGGGTCCAGTGGGTAAGATCCTAACTTGTTTTCCATTTTTGCTTAAATTGTGCAGAGTGTTTCTTGTCTTTGACTGGAAGAAGCAAGAATATTAGAATAATGCAAGTCTTCCATAAAGCGTTAACTTTTTACTCTAATCAGCCCTTTGAAGAAAAGGAGAAAGAAGTACAGAATGCTAACAGGCAGAAGTAACCACTGTTTTGACGCTGGGACACACCTAAGCGAAATAAAGGAGTCATTTCCTGTTGTTCTCTCAAATCGATTCCATGCTTGATATTATGATGTCAAAAATAACTTTTGAAACGCAAATTAGCTGAACACTGGACATGAATAGTTTATTTAAAAAGAACTTGTCTCATTTCAATGGTCCTCCGAACCCAATCTGTCTAAGCTATATATAATGTGGTATTGAATTGAAATTCTTTTTTTCAGCATTGCCAGCTTCTCTTTTTTTTTTTGGTAGGGTTATTTAGCTAATCATTAGATGTAATTTACAGCCCTAATAACATTATTATACTCATTTGACATTAGCGCTTGTAGATACACTGTTATAACTCAGTATTAATTATAGAATATTTTAACCAAAGCTTATTTTTTCAATGTTCATATTAATCTCATATTTTACAATTCTTGTTTTTTTTTTTCAAACACAGTGTACCCACTATAAATCAATCTTTGCACTTTATCCAACAGTAGCGACTAATAAAGAAGGTCACAACTCATTGAAGAGTTCCTTGGAGGTTTGTAACATCATGATTTAAATCTCAGAAAGATTTAATCAAAAGCTGAATTAATCCCTAGGGGAGAGAAGCTGGATGGATCCCATTGATGGACACAAAGCAGTCTGCTTCTTTTCACTTGTTTCTATTAACATTTTGGGAAAGAGGAACATAATTTTTCCGTGAATAGGAAAATACAATTTCCTTGGTGGGGGAAGGATAACATGTGATAACCTTCATGCCACGCTCTGTCTCTTCTATGGCTGATTTATCCTATTTTCTGTGCCTTATCTGTTTTTCTATTGCGTGGTCAAGTTAAATGTCCTCTACTCTCTGGTTCCCTCAATCTATTCCATGTGATTCCAGTAACTGTACAGAGTTCCCAAAGGTGCACTCCAGTCAAGCATGTGGAATGTGTGGGTCACATGGGCTGCTTTCCAGGTCTCTTCTGTGTAATCAGGTGACTGCCCGGGGCAAATTCTCCACATTCAAGGACATTGAGAACTTGCAGGAAGAAATGAACATAACATTCAGGTATTTCCAGGATTAGGATCTACTGAGAAGCTTATCACTGTTCCATGACTAGGATGCTCGCTACATCAGAGGCTGCCACCTTTACGCATGCCATTTTTCTGTCCGTAATTCCGTAGGAATGTCTCCGTATTCCTTTACAGCTCAACATGCATTGCTTTCCACCAGCTGATTTATAGATGGAGCAGAGTGGAATTAATTAGGTGAAAAAAAAGTGAGAGAACTTTTAGAGGAGAAAACCAAATGATCCTATAATATTTTCATGATTAAATTAAATGAACATAATTATACATGCACAAATGCACACTATGGTATTATAATCAAGAACCTTAAAATATTGTATTGTTTCAAATTTATGGATGTAGCCCTTATTGAAGGCAAGCATCTAGTGTGATACTTGAATTTGCATATTGACTATTTTCATATATTAATTTTGAGTAGGAAGTAGCTAAATTATTAGGAGTGATACAGAAAACTACTGTGCTTGTGCTGGTTTGTGAACATCGGGACCACTTAGCTACATTATCTTCTTTCCACATAGTTTTCTGTGATGGGTTTTCAACAAGATGACATCCAAGTGAAAGCTGAAATTAAATGGCAAGGAAAGAATGTTAAGTGGTAAAATCCTAAATAGCTTATTAGACTACTTAGTTGGAAGGAATTTATTTTTGCTGCTGTTAGGAACTCTATAGTAACCTTTCCTTTAACAATAGTAATTGATGGGAAAAAATAGCTGTAGTAATATAGTTACCACACAATACCCTCCGGCAAGCCATTTAAGGACATTCACAGGTACTTTCCTTTGATTTACATTAGTGTTGGTGAAAACTCTGTTCTGTCTTCATTGTACCATTGCCTGCTCATTTCATTTCCCACCAAGTCTCTTATTCTTATCATAGCTTCACAGTGCACTTAAAAGACTTAATTTTAAAAGACAATGAGGCTGTGCTTGTTTCAAGTTTAACCATCTATTGGGCTTTTAGCTTGATCACTGTGCGCTTAATTAAATGTGTGCTAATATTTCATAGTGCTTAGAGGTATTACCCTCTGTAAGCACTTCCACACTTGTTGGCAGAAGTAGGCATGCATTATCACACAATTATGATTAATTACCTGTATCTAGAGAAGAGTGAGTTAATGCACGGGTCACACACATACGCAAGTGAGATGCCTGTCTTTCCTTCATCTCAGGTAACTTCATGATCAAGTGTGATGAAAGCATGACCTGCTTCTCCTCCCTCGTCCGGAACATGGGAGGAGCAGCATGGCACTGACTCAGTACACTGTCTTTCCCTGGGTCAGCAGTCGAGCTGCTGTATAGACTGGCAAAAATGAACTTGTCAGAAAACAAAAACTGGAGTTCGTGCTCCTTTTTTCCTTTTTCTTTTCTTTTTTTTTTTTTTTTTTTTTTTTTTCGTGCTCAGCAACTGGAGTGTGGGAAGTACCTATGTACTGGACTGATGTTTCCCGATTTTCCAGTGGAAGGTGAGTTGGCGTAGAAAGGGAGTAACGGTGCACGTTGTGAATGAAATAATTTATAGACACAAGAGTTCATTTGTCACAGGGCGCTGAGGTCTCGTTGACTGATTGCAAACACTGCACTCTGTGGCTAGGAACATAGTAGAAAGCTGACCTGACCAACAGGGAAGAGATAAACAGAAGGTTAACCACACATATTTGAAGTTCAGATACAAAGCAAGGTGTAGGAAAGGATTCCTGTAGCCTCCTGCTCACCTTTTATGCCACTGCATTCCGTGGGATTATATAAACACAAGGTGCCTTGTGCAGGAAGAGCAGCAGAGTGGAGAAGAGGAGGATGAGTCCTGCAGGGTGTTGTCACGTGTGCGGTTGTGTCTATGACGGCTGGGGAGGAACTGGCTTTTCTGTCCTGGCTGTTGTTTAGACGGGTTGATTAGACTCTGGTTTATTGCCTCGCCCTGCTATGTTGATGGGAAACTCTTGGAATTTCAATAGCCGAGATTTTGGATAGAACTTTTAGCCTTCAATTTTGTGCAATATTGAAAAGCAGGTCCTCCAGGCATACAGTATAAAAGGATCTTCGTGTTCCAATTATATTTTTTCTTTTTCTAATTGACTTGATTTTACCATCTCAAAGCACCCATTTATAGCAAGGAAGCTTCACAGACGTTCAGCATTTTGAAAGTTAAACTTCAGATCCTTTAAAAGTCATATTTGCTGGATATCCTGGAGACATCTAAACTTAAAGACATCAGAAACAAAGCATTGTTTGCTTTTGTGGTCCTCTTAAAAACTTAGATTTATTAATTTCATTTGTAAAAGTAATCAGTTTAAGAGACTTCCTTTTTAGAATAAGCTCTTTCCCAGTTTTATCCAATCATCCTGTGTTTTAGAAATTTTGCTTTAAAATTGATAATCACAATTTTAGAAAATATATACATCTTGTTTCAGATGAGACAAACATGAAAAGCTGCTCTACAGTTTAAAATTGAACAGATTCTGTGTTATGAAAAATGACAATAGTGCTAATTGTGATCATGTATTACCTAACACTTAGTGTGGATTTAGCATCTGTTAGTCACTTTGCTTAAATGTTTACAAGCATTTTCTTAATTATCTTCTTAACGAAAGGATAAGGTAGAAATACAACTCTTCCCATTTTGTTCATAGGGAAATGGAATATATATATCCTCTGGGAATAAAATAATGATGTTTGGAGAGTATTCTTTTGGTTTGGAAGGAATTGAATGTTGAAAGTTTATATAGTTTTGTTGTTTCTGTTTGAAAACAAACTGTTCATGCTGTATTCTTTTATTGTACATTCATTGAACTTTTCCAGTGCACAAGAAATCACATTAGGCACTAGAAATAGAAGAGAAATAGACATGGATCCTACTCCATATC